ATACAAAACACCTTCTTTGACACAAAACGTAGATGAATGAACTGTCATAATTGCTGTAAATTGCAAATGCTTGCGCCGTGTTTCAAAGAAAAAAAAAAGCGGTCCAAAAACCAGGATTTTGATTCATCAAAGGCTTTGATTCGTCATTCAACACAACCAGGTTTTCGATTCCTTTTTGATTCATCATTGAGAGTTGGAGAACAAATCAGAGTAAAAAAACACATACGACATACCAGATAAATCCGTAAAGATATCTGCGTTTTGCTATAGTGTTCTTACTAGAATAGTGACTATTGAATTTATTGACATAACGACAAAAACAGATCATGGCAGCGTAGGCGGAGTTTCGGTTCCAAAACGACACGTGGCCGCACTAAGAGAAAAATTAATGGGTAAAGTACCTAAATACCGTTCAAAAAATTGTATGTAATGACGGCATAAGTGAACCGATCCCCTTACTTTACTGTCAGTATTGCACATTGTTGATTCAAATAGTTGAATTCGCATATGTTTGCCGATGACACTCAAATTCACGACTACTGTGCACCGGCTGACGCTGCAGCGTTGCAGAACCGGATGTCCGTCTGCATGGAAACCATCTCAGACTAGATGTGCTTCAACCGGCTCCAGCGCATCATCAACTGGCATCAAAACGGCATAAATATAATAATTTGGTTCGCGACTGCTCGGCGCCAGCATCAGCTTCCGGCCAACCATGTTCGCGTGTGAAACTATTTCGTCATGCCTGCGTTTTCGGTGTGCAATCTCGGCATTCTGCTGGACTCAGATCTTTCTATTAACAATCACAATTCCAAAGTCACCACCGCTTGTTTTGGCGCTCTGCGACGAATACGTAGTCGACCAACAGCTGTCTCTTGTTCTGACCGGACTGAACTATGATAATGCCACACTCTATGGACTTCCAACCACTTCAATAAAATACAATCCGTAATGAACACTGCTGCACGACTGGCGCGCAATTAGTTAAAATTAGACCATGTGACGCCGATATTGCGCGATCTTCACTGGCTGCGCAAGCAGCAGCGCACGCAATTCAAGGTCGCTCCTCTGACGTTCCGATGTCTTCACGGTCTGGCGCCTCCTTATCTCGCGAAATGTCTGCAGCGCCTGTCAGATCTGCTTTCTAGAAGACGACTGCTTTCGCCATCACCATGAAACCTCGTCGTTCCCTATACACGTCTAGTCGTCTATGTATCTACCGTCGGCGACGTAGCGTTTCCGGTCGCCGCCGCTAGAACCTGGAACAGTCTGCCGGCTTCCGTAACATTGGCTCCTTTGTTGCAGGGGTTTCGTCGAAGCCTAAGGACGGAATTATTTCGTATAGCCAATTAATTAAGTGCTTAGTCATTTTTACCGTTCTCTTCCCATCTCGTTTTTATTTATTTTTACAATGCTATTAAATTTATGTGCAACGACCCACGAAGATCGATTGAAGCAGACGCCACGATAAATGCTTCGTAGAATGATTATAATAATAAAAATAATACGTCCGTTGCCGGAACAATCTGGGTCAGGTCGAGCAACATACCGTCACCACTTCCCCACCAGACATCAGACGTTGAAATGAATGTTGTTTTGATCGAATCAACGTTTGATTCAACGTCTTTTAAACTACTTTCGTCAATTGTGCTACTATATTTGTATGAATATTGCATTTGTATTCCTCGTTTATTCGAGTGAAAGTTCTGTTCTGATGCCTCGGTGATTTGGCTGCCTGCTAGCGTGAATTATTGAATAATTAGAAATTCTGGTGTGCATCGCCGTGATTATGACCTCTGCCATACCATGTGGATTAATTGCCATTTAATTGTTTATACCTGCACGAAATGGCAATTCTTTTAATAACCTTTGCAATCCATAATTCCGGGAGTTCAAAATTTAAGCTGACACCAATGGAGAACTGCTCTGTAGCGGTCGCTTGCACCACAAGCTCGAAAGTGATTTCGATGTATGCATGCACTGGATACGTAATTCCCAAATTTATAACGTGATGGAATATCCTATATATTAGGTTCATTATTATTTTCATTAACAGATCTAACATCAAAAATTACATATTCATGGACTTTGGGAGTTTCATAAAGAACTCCTGTTTCGACTTTGGGTTGAAAATTTTTGTTATCCGTTTCATAGAAAAAACTCGATCTGTTGAAAATAAATCAGAGCGAACATGTCCAGAGGGCATGGATGTTCTCGTTGGTCTGTGTGTTTTAATGCTGGTAAGACACTCGCCTATTCGTATGCATACGCACAGGCACCAGGCTTGATAAATCCACAGTTCTTTTCCTCAAGTCCCAGTTTGAACTAAGCTCATTATTGGTGGGATTAGAGCCATCAGTGAACCGTAATACGAGCGTAGAACAAACCAATGCCACTTAAATTGTGGGCCTGGAAAGCTGGGTTCAATATTCGTTATTAATGGCCTACCGCGGTAGCTTGTTGAAAATGAAATGATGCATGTTTGAAATTTCGTCGATGACATTCATGCAAAATTCCGTTATAAAACTCTCATGTTAAAACTTACAAATTTATGCATGAATTTACAGCAAACTATGATCGGGAGAATATAACTATTCATGTACGGCAAAAATGATATATGCATTTTTATATCAAATATATGATTCAAGTTATTGCCAGTCTAGAGGAATAGTTACACTTTATATTAGATAAATGATTATTTTTATTGCTTTACATCGCAATACATTAGAAAAAAAGGACGCATGACTATATCTCATGATAACATTGCTGAGATTAGTTTATGGTAGTTCCATCACAATGGTTCGAGGATCCGCATAAGCGATCAAGAATTGCTAAATCATCATTAGTAAGTATATCGAAGTTTTTTATTATACTCAGATTTTGTTTTAAGCCGCGTGTTCCGAGGAAATAATTAATATTTAGTTTAGTTGACGGTACAAAGTAATAACCTTTCTTTATCCATCTTAAACCTTTCACTGCATTTACCTTCAAAATGAACAGAAAATTTTTCAATTATACAGTGCAAGGGAACGTTCCAGGAAATATTTTTGGTTAACTTAGAATTGTTTTGTTTTGTTCCCACATTTATTGTCGGAAGTCAAAGTAAATTTACATTTCTACGAATGAAACAATTAGTATATTGATCCTTCAGTTATAAACTCAATATTTTTCGACCGTATTTCCCTATTTTTTTTTGGTGGTTAATATACGAAAGTAATTTTATTTTATTTATTTCCAGGATTTAATTTCAACCTGTAAAAATTTATCCCGGCGAAACATCATAATTGATTTTGCACTTTCATGCTAAAAAATAAATTCTCATCTCAAATTGAGGTTAAGTAAAATTGAGTATACATGCAGAATACGATGAGAAATAGAAAAGAGAAGAAATTGTAATCTGGGATTATTTTTTGCCACTTTAGCTGAATTAAAATAAATCCATCATGTTTTAGGATTGATAAGATTACAAATTCTTCAGAAGTAACAGCATAACATGGATGAGCCTTATTTTTTAGATATCGCAGCATAAACTAATCAACTGTGATGATTGAAAATATATAATTTATATTTGCGCGGCAATTGCTAGGTATTCAAACAACGTTTGCGCTCAAAAATAAATTTGCAGCGCGAGTGAAAGAAATTAAATTGGTCGGTCGCTGTTGTGAGCATCTCATTCCTGAAGAATTTAAGCACCTGCTATAATGGTTTAGCTGGCGTTAACGTTCTCATGCTCAAGTGGAAACTTGGCGCAAGTTTGGCAAGTTTGAGAACTTTCCCGGCGCGAAAATTGACAGCATTGCGCTTGAATACGAAAGTTCTGTTGACGATTGGTCAGCGGAATTTGGTAAATATAATTCAAGTGCGGCAACAACTTTATAATCATCAAGTTTGTGACTGATATATTGAGACGACTTGAACCGTTCCTTTACCGCATTAATCATCATTTAGGCGAATAAAAAAATATATGTACGCCATAAAAATTTTTTATGCAAATCGTATGTAAATATTTTAAGTAGTAAAACATTTTATCCATTGTTCTGTAAGTCAGGGTAACTCAGTATATATATGTATAATACAACATAGGCGGCACCACAAAAAAATTATAATTAACCGCAGTGGGAAATTTAATACAATGATTTTTTAATGTCATCAAATTCTCACAAATATTCCTTCAATTATTCATCCCAATTTTCACGACAAAGCCATAGTCTCTTGCAATAAAGGATAGATTTAATCCTTGTAGCCGGATTGCAGATCAACGTTCGATTAACGTGACAGCTGATTTACACATGTCGAACACGGATTTGCATTTGCACTCAATTATGCATTGGAAACAAAAGCAATTTTCAACTTAGATCCCGAATATATCACTAAAAAGTTTAATGCCCAAGTAACATTTTTCATAAGGTTTTACAATTTATTGATAAAGTTGCTCAGAATAGATTTTTCAAATTTTTTATTCAATGCAATAAATAATTTATTAGTAATTTTAATCAACATTCATTCAATTGTGAGAAGTTCACTTGCTTTAAACTAAAGCAACGACTTAACTAGTCGTGCACGCGGGGAATGACTTGATTATTCGTGCAAATGAGGCGTGACTTGTGTAGTCGTGCAAGTGTGGCATGGGTTAACTAGTCATGAAAATGAAGCATGACTAGTTATTTAATAATTGAATAATAATATTCAATTTAATAATAATTAATTAACTTGCTCAAATAACTGTGCAAGTTAGGCACGATTTAACTAGTCATGCGAGTGAAGAATTTCTCAAATAATCGTGCAAGTTAGGCATAACTTAACTAGTCGTGGAAGTCAGGCAATGCTCAACTAGTCATACCAGTGAGGTATGACTTAACTAATGCCACTGCATCATGCAATAATTATTCGTCCTAAACATCATAAAATGACGAATAATTAATAAACATCATAAAATGACGAATAATCATAATTTTTCGTCCTAAACATCATGCAAATAAAAAATATCTCGTCCTTCTTACCTGGCCCCCGACCATGCCTTCCTTCAAGCGCGGGATGTCCGTGTGCGACCAATTGCTCAGGCTCCAGGGCTCCACGCTCTTCAGACTCTCGTTCAGCTTTAACTTCTCCAGTTGGTTGTGTATGAACTTACGAATATTCCACGGTAAGTCGTTGTGCCTGAAACAAAAGTTAACAGAGCATAAATGACTAAAGTAGCATTTTCTTGTGTCGCTCCATCCCTGAAATGATGGACGATAAAAATTTCAACTCAGTTTTTTTTCGTTGTTGAGAATGGAAAAAAATAAAGAAAAGAAAAAAGAGAAAGAACAGTTTCTATACGTTGGTTCATATTTTTCTCAAAGGCATTTTGACTCATAACATGAAAGTGGATGCGATGGTTACCAAATTATTCTCTCCTAAATTATATGTAAAGAAAAAATCTTTACAATGCGCATTTGCATTTATTGTCTTTCTAAATATTCAGATAGCACCACTAACAAATATATCTCTAAGCCTTTGTATTTATTTAAGCGTGGTCTAAACATTCCCTTATCGTAAAGAGACAAAAGGTCAAATAACCAAAACTTATTCCAACTAGTAGGAATATGGGAACTAATAAAGTGGGAACTAATGCATTTCCTAGAGCATTATTCTTCTGACTCACTATTTTTAAACTTACAGCCTCAATTTGTTCACGAATCTAACACTAAAACTCAGAGCTCAAGTGAACACCCGTTACTTTAAATCCAGTCAGCAACCCAGTCACAGTATAAATAACTTGCACTGCTCGAGCAAGCTTGATGGCTCGCACACTGACTAGCTCACTCACTCGCTCTCTGACTCGCTTTCTGACTCGCTTTCTGACTCGTTTTCTGACTCGCTTTCTGACTCGTTCACACTGACTCGCTTTCTAACTCGCTTTCTAACTCGTTTTCTGGCTCGCTTTCTGACTCGCTTACTGACTGGCTCACTGAATCGCTTATTTAATCGCTCACAGACTCGCTTACTGTTTCCATCACTGACGCACTTACTGAATCTCTTACTAACTGACTTGCTACTGTTTCGCTTACTGACTCTCTGAATGAATCATTTACAGATTTGTTCCCTGACTCCCTTACTGATATAGGCTCACAGACTCACTGACTTTGCTTACTGCATCACAGACTCATTCCCTGACTCCCTTACTGACAGACTCACTGACTTTGCTTACTGCATCACAGACTCATTCCCTGACTCCCTTACTGACAGACTCACTGACTTTGCTTACTACATCACAGACTCATTCCCTGACTCCCTTACTGACAGACTCACTGACTTTGTTTACTACATCACAGACTCATTCCCTGACTCTCTTACTGACAGACTCACTGACTTTGCTTACTGCATCACAGATTCGTTCTCTGACTCCCTTACTGACAGACTCACTGACTTTGCTTACTGCATCACAGATTCGTTCTCTGACTCCCTTACTGACAGACTCACTGACTCTGCTCACTGCATCACAGATTCGTTTACTGACTCACTCACTCACCCATCAATGAGCGGCGCCTCAGTCAAGATGCTGCGTGCGGTGGCCAGACGCTTAGCGAGCGCGTGTGATGGATCTCCTCTGAGCGCCAGCGGGACGCCCACGCCAACGCCTGCCGTCACTGCCACCAGGAACACGAGCCCCACTAGCCACCAGTGCTTGGGACTCAGCTCCCCTGGCGCTGCCATAGAATATAATATGGAGTGAGGAGTTGCAAGAAAATAATTAGATTAATATAAACTTGGAAGGTGTTCTAATAAACATAAGGGCTCAGCTCCCCTGGTGCTGCCATAGAACATGAGATGGAATGAGGAGTTACAAGAAAATAGTTAGATAAATGCAAACTTGGATAGTGTCTTAACAAATATATGGGGCTCAGCTCCCCTGGCGCTGCCATAGAATATAATATGGAGTGAGAAGTTGCAAAAAAATAATTAGTTTAATGTAAACTTGGAAGGTGTCTTAACAATCATATAGGGGCTCAGCTCCCCTGGCGCTGCCATAGAATATAAGATGGACTGAGAAGTTGCAAGAAAATAATCAGATTAATGCAAACCTGGAAGGTGTCTTAACAAATACATAGGGGCTCAACCCCCCTGGCGCTGCCCAAGAACATAATAATATGGAATGATAAGTTGCAAGAAAATAATCAGCCTAATGCAAACCTGTAAAGTGTCTTAAGCATGGGGCTCAGCCCCCTGGTGCCCCAGAAATACGGTAAGATGAGAAGTTACACGAAAAATAATAAGATTAATATAAGCATGGAAATATTCAAAATATATAAATGTTTTTATTAGGAAGTTTAATAAAATATATTTAACGTTCTCGAGAAACCGATGTTAGTATGTATCGCGTCAGTGCAGGTAACATGTATTTGTGTGTCGTCGTAAACGGTTATATCTATGCTCTCCTGGCCCTGCCCCAGCAAATACGGTGCAATGAGAAGTTGCTAGAAAATGTATCGTGTAATGGGAGGTAACTCGTAATGACGTGTCGCACATTACGATATTTCAGATCACCTGACAGCTGGAGAAAATACACTGGAATGCAAAGGTTGAAGGAAACATTCTAACCATACAAATTTTCGATATTAAATTTAAGTTGGCAAAAATCCATCGCTTGTATGTATAATAATGGTATGTGTTTTGTAATGATATGTCGCGCAGAATGATGTGTAAAATTGTTAGTTTGTAAGCTATCGTATCCTACATATATGGCGTAGCGTGAGCCATGGCAGTGAGCCATTTCTCTACAAGTGCATGCACTTGTAGAGAAAGTGTTAGGACGAGCAGCTTTCTTTACGTTGGCATCACATTTGGCGTATGGAACCTTCTGCCACTGAGTAAAGGTAAATAAATATTTGTTTTCCGTGAACAGACTTGGTTTGCTCACATTAAATTTCATCATTATATAAGCAAAACTACCCTCGCACTCCCCGGGTTCATGTTCAGGCCATTTATTTTTGTAAAACAGTAATTATTTGTATATTTACACACCATAGGTAAACCAGAGCAAATGTACAATCTTTAAGCAGCATTATTTTTTGGACCTTGTTTAATGTATTCATGGAAATTTTTAGCTAGCTGACAAATGCATAAGACAGAATTAGATAACGACTTGAGCTTAGCAGCAAAAGTTGAGTGAGGGGAGATGCCGCTCAGGGAGACATGATAAACTTCATGAGAGGAATCGACTCAAGCTTCCTCCCAGTGCAAATTTACAGACGCGGCAGCTCCTGATTTGGATTACCAGAAGCTGAGGCGACTCTAAATTTTGATAGGGTTATTAAGGCACGGATGTGTAATTCAATGCATCACGTCGCATATTGCACTCTGTCGCGCCTTCTAAAATAATGCATAATTGTTTTGTTGCCGCTTGCTTTGGATAGATAGAAGCGAAAATGTGAAGACGCATTTTTAAATCTCCGTTTAACAGGGCGGAAAAACTGTTAGATATAAATAAAATGAGAGATGTATAAAGTTTTGTAACATATTTACTCCATTGATTAATTATCATTTGAGTAAATAGACTATCATTGATTTATTATCAATGCTAATCGATTGACTTATTAAATACGCGTAATTAAATCGTATTTAGAAACAATAATTAATAATCGGGAAATATTAAGAAGCAATAAGTGAGATATATCGTTAGTAAAATAGCTGCAGTAAATAATGTTCTTTACTACGAAAGAGGAAGAACGGTAATCATTGCATGACGCCACAAATGAATTTCCTCCAAAAAAACACAAATAAATAATCATCATCAATTCTACAAGCCGTGAACAATAATACTTAGCCAAATCTTTCAGAGAAGATTAAATTTTTTGTTAATTTATTTACCGGGTGAATTTTGTTGAAATTTCGTTGAAAATGGCACCTAAAAACAAAGTTACTGCAATGTTAGGAACTCAGCTTGCCAACACATTTTTTTAACCTATTCAGAATCGGCAACAACATGGACACACAAACACCAGTCTTCTGTTACCTGGCCTCAGTACTTGATCTGCTCGCTACCCGTCTCCTGTTAGCCGCGATGTGCAAGGCAGGCGGATTGAGAGGGTGATTCATCAGCAGATATTAGAGCAGCCGATATAGCACTCGATATCGAACGATCCTAAATCTCGGCAAGGATCATTTCTCAGCGAGACTCGTCAGAAAGACGCCTACGCAAGTGCTGGCGCTTCTCTACAGTCGTAATATCGGCTACGGCGTGCGTCTAAAGTCCTTGAAAATGTTACCCGTCGTCTTCGATGAGACTTGGAGATGCCTCAACCTGATATCAGTATGAATCTATTGTTAATAAAGTTTAATTAATACTGATTAATAGAAGTTTGGCTTGATTTATTTCTTGATTGTCGATTGTCTACGATCGATGCTCCGTTTTTATCATCCAAACAATGAACGCAATGATTAATTGTTTGCCATTATTGGCAAGTCATTGTTAACGCTTTAGCTTCTCACAGTTTAACTTTTGGTTCACCTCTGCTATTTCTGCGTAAACTTTTCCCAAAATATAGGAATGTAAATTTTTCTGTTTATCGAAAAAAAACTCATTTTAAGAGTGAATAAACTATCCATTGTGAATAATATATCACTGCTTCCTCTTGAAAAAATTATGCCTTCAGTTTTTGTTATTTTGTTTTTGATAGTATTACGTTACATAGCTTGCTTAGCTCCTTCACAAGGTTAATAGGGATTTTTTAAGTTTATAAACCACGTGGAGTGACTATGAGTAACTGATGTTCTTTCTGTTTTTTTTTTATTTTAACCGTAATCGAACTACAATAAATACCGTGAACAATATAACAGTAAGCATCTTAGCTGTAGAACCTCAACATCGAGAGACCGTCTCTGAACGGCCATGTTGAGGCTGTATCCGTTAAATAATAAATTTATTGAGCTTCTTGAAAACGTCGAGAAATAATAACCCGAAATAAATAAAATAAAACACGGAGGATTTAGAAATAAAATTTTCAAATCCTCCTGGAAATTCGCTCAAAAATGAAGTCTGATCCACGACATGAATTTCTCTAACAGCGTGGGTCTCCTGGTGGGCGACAAATCCTTTTAAGAAGTTGAATTTTCTCGAAAGCTTCCGTTAATCAGATTTCGTTAGATATTTATGCTATAAATTCAATATCATGTAGAAAATGTCTGACTCTTTATCATAGAGCATTATTCATACATTTTTCGACTCTCATGCAAAATTATTCACATTTATCATATCATGGGGAAGTATTTAGAATTTACTATATGGATGTTTTCAAATTGACACAAAATATTGCAAACAAATCAACATAATTTAAAATTAAACTGAACTAATAGTGTCTTACGACCAACTGCCAGCTTACGAAATTAGTAGCTTGTTACATGGCGATTGCTACTCGTCACTATAATTGTGGTGGCCAACGGAATTAATTGGAATTGACTTACGACTGAGTATAAGCTAACAAAAACAGTAGCTTGTTACATCACTTACATGGTTACTGCAGCTGACCGCTATAACTGTACACGCGAACGTTATCGCTAAAGCCTGTGATTGCTGTCGCTATATAGCTGCCTTCGTCCCTAACTGCATACTCAACGAAGATCATAAACTAAATCTCGTTCATTCATTGTATTCTGCTAAAGTCGTATGAGGCATAAAAAACATATCACTCTCAAGCTTGTCACCGTGCACCGACCTATTAAAAACTAAAGTTGCAATTCAAGCTATTTACTGCCGGACTGAAGCAATAATCTAAAGAAGCATTCGAGTCCTTACATTTTATTACGAAGAAAGTGTTGCTCTTGTTTGAAGATACGACCGAAAAACATCTTCCTGTTGTTTGATTTTTGAAAACAAAACACCAACGAAAGATTTAAAAAAAAAACAATGTGTGCCCCGAACTGCCAACTCACAGCAAGGTAAAAATTGAGGGTAAGACTTTTTTCACTATTACTTTTTCGTTTTCATTTGCAATTATGCTCTGAAGCACGAATGTTAATTGAAAACTTCGTTGATAACGATCACACTTAAAATGCCGATGATTTGCTTTCAAATCCAGGCGGTATATATTCAATAAATTACAACTGTCACAGTTACTTCATGCTGGAGCTTTTTTAAACAGAATCCTTCTTTTCTGCGTAGCATCAAGCTTTTATTATTAGTCTCTTTGCCGGATAAAAATAATTACTGCATAATCCACTTGTGAAGATTAAGTAACAAATTGAGAAGCGAGTGGGATTATATGAAGACAGAGAAATGTTTTGAGTGTTAGAAAGGTATTCGTGAAATCACGCAGTTTTTATTGTATATTTACGCAGGTCACAACGCATTTGTGGATCTTCATTGTTGTGCAGGCTATAATCTCTTTAAATCTTTTGTAATCCCCAGTAAGCTTGATTGGTCTCATGTGCACCTCATATGTTAACAGCCTATCTCACTCACGAAATGATAACGAGATTCACGTCTAAAAATTTGTGAAGATAAATTTATGAACGAAAATATGCCGTCCATGGAACGTGTGAAAATTGCGAACCAATCATTCTATATTGAAAAAGTCACTAGCTTCTTATGAATTTATTCAAACGATCAAGTAAAGGTTTTTTACTTGAGGAACAGAGATAAAAACACTTCATAATCCACCCAGGCAACGCAGTCGCAGTATACTGTCAGTACGTTGTAAACACTGCACCA